AGGTTACAAAGTTAGTCAAATTGAACCAACCCACACTGAGACACAGTGCTGAAAATAACAGATAAAATATGAAGTTTTTCTAAAAATATTTGATAATCATCTGAAGGTTATAAAGATTTCCCCATGTGAAATTTGAAAATGTTCTGATGCATAAAAGTATTCAATCTTAAAATCAAAATTACTTTGCATGTTGGATAGTCAACATTCTGATAATACATTTATGATAAAATCTTTAATTAAAAATTCTTAATACTTAATTTAAAAACTTGATATTTTGTGTTCGAAAGCCTTGTGATGTTTTCCAATAACCTGCAAAATTTTATAAAGATATGCATACATCATCAAAAATCACAGTATAATTACTTTCGTGGTTACGAGCTGGGTGAGTTCCACCCAACTTGTAACGGAAAGGTTATTTATGTGTTTAGAAGTTTACAGCTTACAACTGCAAATTTGTTTTTATTCTTTTTGATAAGAAATGTTATGGATGGGTGAAGTACACTAATATTTGTGTGCAATTCATGCTTTAATGTGTTACAAAGAGTTGAGGTTAAAACTAGTTTTGAAAGCCTCAACATGTCAAAGAGTTGAGATTAAAACAATTTTGGAGCCTCAACATGTCATTACAGCCCATACCAACATATTTAGTCATGCACTATCTAACAACCATGCATCTTTACAATAGCCTTGAAATATAGTTTCCACTACAAAAGGCTCTGTCATAAGGGTGCCAGTTCAAAGCACACCACTCCTCTCTGAAGGCTTTCAATAATCTATCTAATGTATAAAGATGACTGCTTCCAGGTGCTCACTTCTGCAGTCCAGTCACACAGAAATCCATAAGTGCTACATAATTTGATGTTGTCTTTCAAAATTTCTAGTGCATACTGGAGGGTATTTACACATTTTGATAGATGCACATTACAGCAGACTCGAGAAAAAGAACATTACAAACAGTTTATAATTTAATGAATATTCCAATATCAAACAGTTGTGTATATTAACCCTGATGAAGCTGCAAAGGCAAAACATTGGTTAAAATTAAAAAAGTTCTTTTATATATATCCATAGTATAAAGGTTGTTTTTTCTAAACTTTTTATCAAAGTGCTACATAAACCATCTTGATTAGCATGTCTTTCTATGGAATAGCATGACTACCCACTTCATTCTTCAACTGCTTGAGGAATGTGGCAATTGAACAGCATGTATAACTGGAAGCTTTATCTTGGAGAGCCCGTACCTTGTTAGCCTCATTTCCAGATGGAGATCATTCTAGATTATGTTGCATACTGTTGCCTGGGGCAAATCGTCAGTTTTTCACTAACCTTCCTTTTGTGTTGA